TCACATTGTGGTTTCTTTCAAACTATTTCAGTTTGCATATTTCTACTGTTGTAACATATTATTATATACAATTGGGGTCACTGATCTTTCGGCAAAATTTCAATTTAGTCACTGAACTCTAATTTGTCTAATTTGGTCACTGATATTTAATTTACTTTCAAATTTCGTCTCAGTTACATGACATTATAACTGACATAAAGTGCTTGGTTGATAGTCATATCATTGACCGTCCATGTAATCCGCAAACGAAAAAGTTAAAACGAGAATTAAAGGAATATTTTAAAATTAAAAGGTAAAATGCTTTTTTTTTTTTAATTTTAACGTTTTTATAATGTAGTGTGGTGGTAAGTTGGTATGTCACATTAATTTTATGGATGATTCATTGCCATATGATTGTCGTCAAAACAATTTACATCAATTAATTTGAAACTAAATTAATGCTACTTCACTGAAAATAAAATTAATTATTTGTGAACTAATTAAGACATTAAAATGTAGTGAACTAATTGAAATTTTGTTGCAAGTTAACTGAAAGCAAATGTAATTTACCCAGATACATGGATCATAAAAAAAATAAAATATTTTCACGTAAATCTAAAATATTTTCTTATTTTTTAACTACACATTCTCCCAAAATTTACTATTCAAAAACTCATTCTTTCCAAAAAAAACTCTATCAAACGGTGGCTTAGCATCTTTGCATCGGTCGTGATCATTGATTATAATAAATATGATCGAAATTGAAAGATTTAATTGCAGCACAAATCATTTAGGGATGACAATAAATAGGATTGGAGCACCCATCATTATCCTCTTCTCGTCGAAAATTTTCGAGAGACAAGATGAAGACTAAATGTAGTGGTGTCAAACGAGCCAACCGGCTCGTCGGCTCGCCCGCTCTGCTCGTACTGTTCACGCCCACGAGCCTCTCAGGCTCTTCAAAAGACGAGTTCGAGCCCGAGCCGAGCGGGCAGGTGGGCTAGACGAGTCGAGCCCGCTCAGCTCGTAACTATTCACGAGCGGCTCAGCAAGCCGCTCGTGAAAAGAGCCCACGAGCCAAGCTCGTGGGCTCGTGTATATAAATAAAAAAATAAATAAATGACAAAAAAAAGTGATCGGATCGGTCAATCAGTGACCGTTTGGTCACTTTTTAAATTTTTTTCCTATTTTTCTACTT